GTTTTAACAGAAAAATCTTTGCAGAATGTGGAACCCAACTCCTGGCTAAGAGTACAAATAATCACAGCGCACAAAGAAGCCACAGACCTGGATGGCAGATCAGCTGTTCTCTTGCTGAGCCCTAAAAATCAAGCAAAACATTTTGAAGACTAAAAAGCCAGCTGTCTTCAAAGTGCTTCCTATCCACTTAAAACGACACTGAGCTAGAGGTGTCTAAAGCCTCATCAAGACTGTTACTGAGAGAGAGGTGGATCAACGCAGCAGCTCGCCGAGTGCTGGGATGAATGACCAAGGCCATTTGGATGGCACTGCTGGCATGACGGACTGAGACTCTGGGTACCGGGCTGAGGGGCTCTGCTCGACAGGATTCGCGGAGGCCAGGCGGTGCTATGTACTCCTCATCCTCAGCTGCACTCCTGGCTGAGCAACTAGGCCAGAGCTCTGTGGCTTCCCAGCTCACAGATGAGGTCTGGTAGAGACCAAGTGGTCGAGTGAGAGGTGACCTGGTTTGGCCTGGCTTTGCTCGGTGACGGTGGGACATTATATTCTGGGCCTCGGTTTACTCATCTGTACAGGGCTACGGATTCGTTCATCTGTTTACGACGATCACAAGCCACTTCCCTTCCCTTACTCAACAGTGAAGTCTGGAGAGGCGGCGGGCGAAGAAGGGAACTCTGCTCAGGGCAGCGCCTCGGACCGGGGCACCAAGATGTCTAGTGTTCTGCCTCCTCCAGGCTCTTTGCTGCCAATTAGGGAGTCTCACCTTGCTCGGTTTATGCTTCCCTTTAAGGGCCGTGGGCTCAACTGCTGTGAACTTAGAAGATGCCTCAGCAATATTAGATTTTTTCCTCCCCCCAAAATTCTGATTTCTGGCCCAGCTACAGTGGAACAAGCTGCTAAGACACCATGCTCCACTGGCTGGGACCACCTGCGAGGCCTGAGGTCCACTCCCAGTACAATCTGAAGACCAGGAAGAGTGGTGTGCTGTAATCCCAGCAACATGGGGAGGCTGAGGCGGGAGGGCCATGAGCTCAAAGTTGGTCTGGGGAACACAGCGAGACTGGGGAAAAAACACCACCTCACTTTCCACAGACATAAGACATAGCAATGAACTGAATGAGAAGCTACTACTCCAGGTTATTTCATAGACGAGCAGTAAAAGCGTGATGAGGTAAGATATTAAAACTAGTCTTTCCTGTTTGTCTACTAAAAACTTCTGAAGCTCTGAAACATATTTTACAACTTGAGTGAACAGTAGTTCAGCAACTAGTGTCTTCTCTAAAAACAGCCAGCATAGGGGCTGGCAGGTGCATGGTGGTTAAAGGTGCTGGACTCCCACATGGCTGACTGCAGTTCAAGTCCTAGACCTGGTGGCTTGCTTTCTCACTTCCTCTCTCTCACTCTCACCCTCTGTCTCTCTCTGGTCAAGTTAAAAAAAACAATAATGATAAATAAAAGGAAATAATTCTAAAAAAAAAAAAGCCGGCATAACACAGGGCTCCCGACTCCTGGCCTCGTCTCAGTTCCAGCCCTGCCACTTGCTGGCTATGCTGCTCTGCTAAGTCTGTTTCCCCCCTGATTAACAGCAATACAAACGGCACCTCCCTGCCAGGACTGTAGAAAAAGTGAAATGTATACAGAGAGCTTGGCATTGTGTAGCTCACAGTAAATCCTCATTTCTACTCCTGCTGGGAAGATGTGGCTTCCAACCCCATTAGCTCTCAAAGCTGTCACCAAACTGACCAGGAGGACAGTAGCACGCACAGAACGAGGTCAAGGGGACAGAGGGTGATTTCTTCTTGACCAGAGAATAAATTTATTCTTGAAATTCCAATCACTAAAAGGTGTGTAAGGCTCCGAAGTTAAGTACTATTTAAAAAGGTCAATCGTGGTGCTCGCTTCGGCAGCACATAGACTAAAACTGGAACGATACAGAGATTAGCATGGCCCCTGCGCAAGGATGGCACGCAAACTCGTGAAGCGTTCCATGTTTATATATGGGATTTGGTCTCTTTGATCACCAAAAGCCAACTCAGCCAGCTATACTTGTGAAACAAGGAAATAAAAGGCTTACTTATCTTTAAAAAAAAAAAAAAAAAAAGGTCAATCATGGGGACAGCAGGTAGTGTGGTAGCTAAGGCACTGGACTCCCACATGGCGGACCATGGTTCAAGACATAGACTAGACCTGGTGGCTTGCTTTCTCACTTTCCCTCTCTCTCTCTCTCTCTCTGGTGAGCTCTGTTGCCCTATAATAAATTTTAAAATAATAACAATAAATAAAACTAAATAAATAATTCTAAAAAAATAAATAAAAGGTCAGTCAAGGGCCGGCCCCATAAATTAGTGGTTAAAGAAGCTAGATCTCACACAGCTCACTGGTTTGAATTCCAGTCCTGGCAGCTTCAAAACATGCCAGGCATGTGTGTGCACGTGCCTAAAATCCCAACAGCATAGAGAAATGAAGAGAAGGGATTGTAGCATGACCACGCCCCGCTGGGGGTGCTTTCTCCCTCTCTCAATTTCTAACGGGCGCACATGTACTCTAACAATCCTGACAGTTCTTTTACTCTGCCTTTTCCTCTAAGGAGTCCTGTATACACTTGAAAGTACATTTATTAGGTCATCAAAAAGCCATGATGCGTTTCTCTATGCAAAAATGTGTCATGACTTTTCTGACAACCCAATAGCTTTGTTTTTCTTTTAGAGATTTTTGCTATAGGGGAATGGCCACGCCACAATCCCTTCTCTCCATTCTCCTCTCGGGATTCTGGGCACACATGCACTCGCACCCTGTGTGAGTTTCAAGATGCCAGGTATGGGACTGGAACTGCAGCTGGACACGTGGGAGTCGAGTGCCTTAACTACTACTCTATCTGCTGGCTCCTCCATAGTTTAATATTTACTTTTTTTTTTTTTTTTTTAAAGACGGGGTCTTGGGCCCAGACAAGGGCATAAGTTGGGCTCCCATGCAGTCAACTGCAGTTCAAGTCCTGGACCCGGTGGCTTAAACTCACACCGGGTGCGTGTACGTGCATGCCCAAGATCCCGAGAGGAGAATGGAGAGAAGGGATTGTGGCATGGCCATCTCCCCGGGGGGTGATTTCTCACTTTCTGTCTCTGTCTTTTTGGCGAGCACACGTACCCTATAGCAAAAACCTCTCGAAAAAAAAAAAAAGACAGGATCTTACTATGTCACAATCCTCTTGCTTTAGTCTCCCAATTGGGACTAGATGCATGCTACTGTATTTCTTTTTAAAATAATTTTTTTTTGATTAAATTTGATAGAGGGTGCTCACTGGAGAGAGAAAGTGAGAAAGCACCGCCTAGGAGGGATGGCCATACCACAGTTCCTTCTCCTCCATTCTCCTTTCGGGATTTGGGCACATGCACTCACATATCAGGAATGCTTTACAAGCTGGCAGGTCTGAGACTTGAACTGCACAGCTAGCTGTGTGGGATGCAGTCACCTTAACCACCCTGTCACTGCTGGCCCCTATTTATTTTTTATTTGTATTTATTTTTTCCATGAGGGAAAGAATCAGAGAAAGACAGAGACAGGTACCCCCAAGAGAGTCTTCATGCCACAATCCATCCCAGCCTTTGCCAGCCCGGATTGCAGGTGCCTGGCATGCACACGGAGACACTGGGATGCAGACCCAGGACCTCCTCTGTGGGTCCAGCGTCACGGAATGCTCTGTTACTGCTGTTACCACGCAGGTGCCTCCAGCCCTTTTCCACACAGGATCTTGCTGTGTTGTCCAGGCCAGCCCTGAGCTTGCAATCCATGTGTGTCTCCCAGGTCACTGAGATTTCAGGTGCATGTCACCACACCCAACTTCAGGCTATAGTGCCAGCAGCTCAGATCACTCCAGAAAGAGGGCTTCCTTCAACCACAAGTAAATTTCCAATAAAAGACCTTCTCCAGGTCCAGGAGATTGTGTGGTGGTTAAGGCACTGGATCCAACATGGTCAACTCCACAATTTGAGTCCTAGACCCCACAGCCTGAAAATCATGCAGGTATATGTACATGCACGCCCAGAATTCTCAGAGGAGAATGGAGGAGAACGGACTGTGGTATGGCCACTCCCCCTAGGGGGTGATTTCTGACTCCCTTCCACCTTCCCCCATCTAGTGAGTGCACACGTCCCATAGAGAAATAAAAAAGACCTTTTCAGATGTCTTCCAGGAATGTAAGTGCTCAATAAACATCTGCTACATAAATGAAGAGACAGCATGATCTGTGAAGAATGTGAAGTTTGAGAAAAAGCTACTGTGTTGACAACAAAGCATACTATGAATAAACTAGACGTGGGCATATAAATCTTTAAGGATCAAAGAGGCTCTTGTAAACTTTTTCTTTATTTAACTTTCAATAAAAATAGATTCCTACCTCAAAAGAAAAACAATGATAGCAGTTATCATACAGGAGCAGCTCGACAAATTTCAGAGTCTTTAGTCTTCAAGTCCTGTGCCACAACCACCCTCGGTCTGATCCCGCCTTCCCTGGGAAATTCCAAAAACGGGCTTGGTTTGCTTAATCGTCTTACAGGGGCTGGTTCTCTTCTATCATTCACTCAAACCCAGACCTCCTGATTTGTGGCTCATAATACTTCAGTCATCTACAAATGCATCTGGAAATTAGTTATTTTTAGACAGGGTCAGGGACACAAAACTTCTTTTGAGGGACATAGTGAATCCTGGTATTCACCACTACAAAGATCCTCAAGGATAAAAATGTGCGATCTGTGCCTCTTTTTAAAATAGAACCTTTAAGGTTCAAGGAAAAAAAAAAATCCCTAGGCCAGCCCTGCAGTGTAGCAGTTAAGGGCCAAGCATAGAATGCTGTTGCATCCCATGTGGCTGGCTGCAGTTCGAATCCAGGCCCCAGCAGCTTGGAAAATAAAATAAAATAAAATAAAATAAAATAAAATAAAATAAAATAAAACACGTGTGATGTATGACCAAAATCTTAATTGATGGAGAAAAAGAGGAAATAAAGATTGTGGTGTGACCATGCCTCACTGGCAGGATGCTTTCTCTCTCTCTTTGGTGAGTGCACGTGTCCTGTAGCAATTAAAAACAAAACAATCCCTTCCTAAACTATTAATACAAAAATACCAGACACATCAGCTACACAAGGAGCTGACAAGACCTGCTGTTTCCATTTCTGAGAACAGGAGGCTTTAAGACCAAACCTCCGAGTGAAAGAAAACAGTGGGAGCTCCCCGCAGCCTGGCCTAAGAGACTGTCATCTCCCTCTCTCCTGACATGGATTCCTGCCACCTCCGCAAGTGCCACCGGGCATGCGATTTAAATGCTGAATTTCAGTTCTTGATCATTCTGCCCTTGGGATCCCTTCTCTTTAAATTCTTTGTCACGGTCTGGGGAAATACTCTGATTTTCTATGGTAGGAACAGCATCTGAATCCAATCTTCTTTTCTTCAGTTGGTGCAAGTGGGATTTGGATCTTATATGTGCTGATAAGACAAAACCAAACCAAACAAACAAACAAAAGAACTCATTAGGATTTTGTAGGATTAATTCTGGGAGGAAATAAAATTAACCATACAATCACTTCTTTAATAATAAATAAGAGGATCAATGTATGTTTTGGTATAGCTGCTTAACATTTTTCTTTTAGTTTGTTATAATATAAGGGTGTGTATACTCAAGAGAGAAAGCGAGAGCAATCATCCCTCCGTGGGAGAGGGCCCGTAAAAATCCCTTCTCCTCCGCTCTCCTTTTGGGATTTTGGACATGCATGCACATGTGCCTGGTGTGTTTTTTAAGCCACTGAGCCTGGGAATTGAACCCTGCAGGTAATCCTGTGGAATCTAGCTGTCTTAACCACTCCACCATAGGCTGGCCTGCTGTTTGGCATATTTAAGGGAAGAGTTAAGTTTGACGGCCAACTAGTTAGCAAGCTAGAGTGAGCTGCCAAACACCAAGGACACTCTGCTAGGTGCTCTGTATTACGGAGCCTCATGATGATTCTATAAAGCAGTACTAGTCTGCTCAATTATACAGGAGGGAAACGAAGTTCAGAGAGGTCTTCCATTTTCTCCAAAGTTGCGGAGCAGGTAACCTATTTTGCCTAGAGCTACAGCTCCAAAAAGGGACCCAATTTCATGAACTAGGTCTCTGTGGTATAGGACTTCTTCTTTCAGATACATTTCAACTCACAAAACTACATCAGAAATGCAAATCCCAGACCAGCCCTGACCACAGCGGTTTCACACTGCACATCAGGAAGCTGGACCTCATGTGGCTGGCCCTGGTTCGAATCCTGGCCTGAGAAACATGCAGGCGCAGTACAAGCACACCCAGGATCCTGACGTGAAGGAGAAATGGAGGAAAAAGGACCGCCGTGTGACAGATCCATTATGGGATAACCCACGGTGGGGTGTTCTTTCTCTCTCTGGCAAGCACATGAGCTCTCTTGCAAATAAAAGAAAAGGAACCAAGTTCAAATCCTGCTGCAGGATAGATGCAAATAAAATTAATCACATAATCTTTTTCTTTAACAGTAACAGGACTGATACCTGCAGCAGCCAGCTCTACAGAGACCTAAAAAAAGAGGCTACTTCGCACTTCTTCCCACTCTCAGAGGTTGCCCCTCCTGGTCTGCCAAGCCTATGTCAGGTCAGATAAGCCATCTGAATCGCTAACCCACAAGCTCCCATTCTCAAAGCATGTGCCACTCCAGGGAGACAGTCAGGGGGGGGTATCTGTCCCTGACACTCTCTGAGTGTCAGGGAGGAGTAGAAAAGCTGAAAGGTCACCGCCACCTGATAACAATTTCTGATCACTTCCCCTGAAACACTTCCTACTTTCTGACTAACTCACACAGGCTCATTTTCATCTTCCTAGTTTTTTTTTTTTTTTTTGGAGGGGGGAGAAGTTTTTGCAATAGGGCGCATACAGCTCGCCAGACAGACAGAGAGACAGAAAGTGAGAAACCACCCCCCCACGCCACAATCCCTTCTCCATTCTCCTCTCAGGATCTTTTTTTTTCCTTTCTTTTTTTTTTTTGGAGAGGTTTTTGCTATAAGGGCGCGTGCGCTTGCCAGAAAGACAGACAGAAATACAGAAAGTGAAAAATCACCCCCCAGAGAGGATGGCCATGCTGCAATCCCTTCTCCTCCATTCTCCTCTCGGGATCCTGGGCACACATGCACACACGCCTGGCATGAGTTTAAGCCACCAGGTCCGGGACTCAAATTGCAGTTGACTACATGGGAGTCCAGCAACATAGCCATTATGCCATTTGCTGGTCTCAATCTTCCTGTTCTTCTTAAAGAAAATCTCATCTGGGATTAAATTTTCCACTTTGATTAAATTTTCCTTTACACATGTTAAAAACATCATTTTTAGGGGCTTAGAAGCAAAAATAAGGATGAGGTTAGAAGTCAAAGAAAAGTTTACTTGGGGGAAAAACAGCTTTGTTCTCCAGCTAGAGCCTAAGGCAAAAAAAAAAAGGGGGGGGCGGCTTCTGGACCCGCTCTGCACGGACGGCTGCAGGAGATGGGAGCAAGGACCCGACAGATGGCACTATAGAAGGGCTCACACAAGCTCGGCTCACAAAGGCTCACAGACGGGGCTTCTCCAAGGCTATCCCTAAAGGACATTCGACAAATCGAACCACTAAGTTTCCTTTAGAAAAACAATCAGACACTCTCTTTCTCTTCCCCTTTCATCATTATAAACCAATGACAATCGAGGCTTCTTCTGCTGGTTGGGCAACCACAGCCGTCCCCAGTCTTTGACAATGGAGTTCATTTTGCCAGAGTTACCAGTTAATAGACATGATCGTTCCACTAGTTGGTGTGGGGAGAAAAATATACTCTTCTGAGACTCCCATGCAAAGCAGAACTCTGAAAAGAAGCCCAGCCACTGGGTCAACGACCAGCCCTACTGTGCCTAAAAGGAGTGGCCTTTCACCCGTGTCTAAAAACAGTGTAAGTTCAGGGCTTGGGATGAGGCCCTTTGAGCGTTAACCAGCTGACGAGAGAAATCCACCAGGGGTGTGCAGTGGGACTCTAGCAAGGGCAGACCCAGGCTCACAAGCAGGGACATACACCCTACAGTGGGGCTGGCCCTGCGGTGGGACCGACCTTCTCCACATGAGTCTGGCAGGCTTGCTTTACAGTTTCCCTCAGCATCTTTTCATCACTGTTTTAGCGACTGCCACTTGGACATAATCCCTCAAAAATTACTGACGCCATACCACTTCTGAAGAGTGTACTCAGCAGGAGCAACTCCAGCTATGCTTCTCATTCCTGAGTCTCCTGGATGAGTTGCCTGGCTTCCCTCATACTCCTACCTCACCCCTCACCACCCCCGACTGAGTTCCAAACATGAAAGGCCAAGGAACTCCTCTAAGGCAGGACCATGAAGTCAGAGGGGCTCTGGGAAGTCAACTGCAGAGCTCTCAGTCTAAAGTCCCTATTCCGGCTGAAGCTGGAGGGCACGTGGACTTCCTTTGAATCTCAGAGCACAGAGACAAATCCCTATTTGGGAAGGCTCCAAGAATGTGAGCACAGGCTCTTGAAGAAATCTGGCTGTCACTGTACAAATGGGCAGACTCTAGTATCCGACCTACTAGAAGACCTTAGATCCCACGAGGTCAGTGTGGCCCCACCTCTACAGATCTCTCCATGCCCCTTCCCCACAGCCTACCAGCCCATTCACGGTCCCCAATGATGACTCGATCACAGAGGTCACACATGTGGTAACTTCTCTTGTTCTCAGTGGCATTGTATGGCATCTTCATGGGAGCGGCTGTAGGCTTGTGGCCCTAAAAGAACAAGGGGATGGAGGAGGGTGGGAAGTAGTCAATGCAGAGATTTAATGATAACTTTTTGATAGTAATGGGAATAGGATTTTCCTAAGGTTCTTCTTTCTTTCTTTTTTTTTTGAGAGGTTTTTGCTATAGGGCACATATGCTCGCCAGAGAGACAGAGAGACAGAAAGCGAGAAATCACCCCCAGGGGGGAATGGCCACACCACAATGCTTTCTCCTCCATTCTCCTCTCGGGATCTTGGGCACGCATGCACACATGCCCAGCGTGAGTTTAAGCCACTGGGTCCAGGACTTGAACCACAGTCGGATACATGGGGGTCCAGCGACATAGCTATTATGCCAACTGCTGGTCCTCTAAGATTCTTATTTCTCAACCCAGAGAGCAGGTAGTCTATGAACAGATTTTAGCAACAAGCACTCTAAATGCCAGAGCAGAAGCATAGCCTTCGGGATGTAAAGCAGCTAGCTCTTCGGCTTTATTCCATGGGAAGAAGGCTTGGTTCTCTAACCGAGCAACAAAGGTGTCTGCTGAGAACAGCACTCTGCAAACCAGACGGCAGACTGTACCAGGTTAATACTCGCCTGGATGAAACTCTGCACGATGTCAAGAGCAGGTTCAAGGACGGACTCCTTCCACTTTGAGATATCTGACACCTCTAAGCCATACACAGGAGGCACATTGGGACCAGGTCCTAATGATGAGAAAGAAAAGGTTGTGAGAGCAGATTCCAAGACCCAACTCACACTGCCCTGAGACTCCAAAACCCTCAGGGAAACACATGGGGTCAAAGAAATGAATGCTCTAAACACTTACTCATTCTAACCAGAAACACAAAGCACAAGCCAAGAAAGACCTAGAGGGCTGACCATCTGCAATCAATAAGCTGAACTGGGAGATGTGAGTACATCTTCCAGAACAGCCAGGAAACCAGAATAGAGGAACAGAATGAGCGACCACTGCACGGGCTGCAAGACAGAGACCTGCCCTAAGCTCCATACCACTTTATAGTGATGCCACTCCGTGGCAAGAGTGTTCACAGCTTTCTATAGGAGCAGACTCTAGTCTCAAGTTCGCATATATCCCTTCCACAGCCTGGCATTCATGAAACTCCTTGATAGCATGGGCTCGCAACAAAA